ACATATTCTCAGGTTAGAAGTTAAAAAATTTAAATTATTATTATTATGAATTTTAATTAATTTAGCAACCAGCCGTTAGCATTATATAGCTCGCAATTTTATTAAATAATAATAGTCAGATCTTGATTTTAAACGAATGCAATATCTCTGTTTAGTTATTAACTAAAGTTGCACTAAAATTTTAATTAAATAATTTTTTCATATTTAAGTTTTAATTTTCATAATAATGATAAAAACCGAATTGTTTCATCACGGAAAAATTATTTAATATTTATTTTTTTTTATTTATGGAAGTTTAAGATCATATCATATATAATTATACATTCACTCTATTAGGCTATATATTATTACTCCTTCAACAAATCTTTAAAGTTTTTTTTACATCTTGAATTGATTTTTCTTCCTTTCATCATTTACATTTTTGTCAAGATTGACATATCCTATAATTTAATTTATTTTTTTTAATTATTTTACGCAGGCAGAAGTATGAGCCGCTGCACAAAGAGAGTTCACGAAGTAAAAACAGAATGATCTAATATTTCCAATATTTCCAAATCAATAATTCTGGTGTTTAACAATACATGAATAAATTTTTATACAGTGTGAACATCAAATTGACCACTCCATGTAATTCCAATACCACTACCTACTGAAACATGAATAAATCTAATTAATAAATTTTATTAAAAAAAAAAATGAAAAAAATGGATATATTGAAAATTTCTTCCAATAATTATTTACCTCCAGCATTAATGCATTAGGGATAGCAATTATTAAAATCCAAAATATTAGATCATATAATTTTGACACTTCATGTTGGAAAACTGTGAAGAATCTTCAATGTCAAAAAAAAATATCGGCAGGGTAAATACACCTTCTAATTCTTCTCTCAAAAAGTCAAACTAAGTATATTATTCATTCCCCAAATATCCAAAAAAAAATCCCAAGCTCAAGGAGTATTACTCCAAAGGTCTTTCCATTCAAAGGAAAGCTATCAAAAGAGGATTGTAATCAGGTTATTGAGCATAATAATTTATTTGAGATAAAAATAATCTAGGTGTTCTTGAGAGTTAACATTCTAGAAAAAAACATATACCTTTAGAGACTCCTTCATCTTTTCCCGATTTTCTTTTGAATGTTTCTCGTATTCGTGAAGGAACTCCTTTAGGCTGTGACTATATATGTTGCCCAAATTATTTTCGGCATAGCAAAATGATTGGGATCTTGAAAAATAATTTGGTAACATAAATAGCTGTAAATATTCTTTGTCCTAAACGAATTTGGTGAGGATTGATAATCTGCGAAATTTCACAGGATTGGTTTGCGCAATGAGCGGGCGAGAAGAAATTAGTCATAACCTAACGGCTAAATATAAAAAAATATATATATATAAAAATACATAAAATAAGAAGATTTTAGTTTCTAGATTAACGATGAACTCGACTCTTGATTGTAAAGATACATCACGAACGATAGACTCGATAAACTTTTATTATGCAGAAATGCATCAAACTTTTCTTTTATGTGTCTTTGTTTTATATTATTATTATTATCAAAAAATAAAATAATAAAAAAAACTCTAACTTCATGAGAAAATTTTCCAATCGTTTCATTAATTAATTAAAGATTCGTCATCAATATCTATCTTACATAAAAAAATTTTCTTTTCTCAAAGAAATTTCTAGAAAAGAAATAAAAGAAATTTGCTATTTTTTAACTTATGTCATCAATTTATCAAAAATCTTTTTTTTATCTTTAAACACTGTTACTACCTGGGAGAGAAAGCTTTACTAATTTATAGTGGTTTAGCTTTGTAGTGAACTTGTGTTGGTTAAATTATGTGAATGATTATAAATATCAAAGATAAAATATGAAATATAGAAAGAGTTAAATTAAACAAGAATAATGTCAATTTATCTAAATAATTAACCAACAGATATCAATAACTATAACTAATCAATAAATAAAAATACTAAATCGAATCAAATAACTAAATCAATAATTAAATCAAAATTAAAATAACTATAAACTAAAAAATAATCAAAAATCAATAAATCAAAATAAAAGAACAATAGGTGAGTTTGGATATACAGGATTCCTTTGGTTATTTCAGCAATACTTTAAGACAAAAGTATAAAATAATTGTTATTTTTATTAAAACAAAAGAAATAGGAATTGTATGAACTTTACAAACTGACTTGGACAAGATAATTTCTCTTGTCCTTATATACATGTTTCTTTCTAAGGCACAGGACTTTAATTAAGGCGCTCAACCTCTTTTATAGTCCAGGGATAATCAAACCTCTATTGAGGAACTGTGCCTTCTTTAAGGTGTGAAGGAGATCAGGACTCTAATTGAGGTACTTAGGGTACATTTTGATAATCAATTAACCTTTTCTATCTTTGCTATTCTAAGTTAATAATTATTATTACCATTCTAAGATGCTAATTTAATTGTACAAAAAAGAATAACTGCATGAATATATGTCCATTCCAAAACTAATACAATAAATACTAAGTAATAATAAATAATAAATAAATAAATAATAATGAATAATAATAAGAAAGAATTGTAAAAATTAATAAGGAAATTAAAGAAATAAAAAAAATCCTCAATCACAAGGTTTAGTTGAAAAGGCAAATGGTATTTTATGGCAAAAATTAGGAAAGTGGAAAGAAAATACAGGTAGAAGTGATTGAACTGCTGAGAGTGAAGTCTAAAACTGACACATTGGTGGACGATCTAATTCGTATCGCTGACTTGAATGACTGGCCCTTGAAGTTAATGTAAGCAATTATAGGAAAGCACCGTTGTGAGGTGCTTAATTTTGCTAAAAGTTTGTATCTCTCAAAATCAGAAATCATCCAATATGCAGACTGGTCATTGAAGAAAGACAATTTATTTCTGCAGACCCCGAATTTGTAATTTCTAATCGAAACTTAAATATGGTGGTCATAGAGGTCAGATTTTTAGTGTCAGTGTTTTTATTGTCAAAAAAACTTTTTTATAGGACAAACATATAAAAAGTCTATGTGACAAGTGGCTTCGGGGAAACACAAATTGCTGTACAAATTGTTGCTTGCGTAGATGAGAGCATCCGTGCGACCGCGATGTACAATTCGGACATCAACATCGCATAAGAATTTCCAACCCATTGCATATCGTGTATCCAGTGATTATTTCATAAGCAACAAATGTAAATGAATAAACATAGCGGCTTTTGTATATTCTTTTCTTCAGGTGCTATATACATATATGGTAATACTCCGGGAAGGTATTCTTTTGGTGATTTTTTATGTTTGTTGTAATTGATTTACTCAAAATCTGGAAAATATATAAAATACTTATCTTTTAAAATATTTCCGGGATGAAAATCACGATGAACTATATTATGAAATTTTGAAAATTTATAAGCTAAATTTTTTAAATTTCCTAACTTATCTCTCCAATCGATATAATTATTATTTAAATAATTCCTAAGACTTCCACCAGAATAATAATCTAAAACCATCATATATTCGAGAGTTTCTCGTTCTTTTGTAATTCCATAAAACGTAGGTGGTGAAAAGTTACCATTTGTTCGTCATCTAAATAATATTTTTATTAATATATTATATTTTTCAAAAAAATTTATATCTACAATACCATCAAATTTTTTTAAAGCCACTTCTATATCCCAATTATAAATCAATCCATCAAATCCACTTAGCATAATAAATAGTACCATAACCACTTTTGCTATTTGTTTAATATCTTGAAATCTATCATAAAGTATCCATTCTGTTTTGCTTCCAATTTGTTTGCATTTAGTTGGTTATCTTGAATAAGTTTATCGATTGTATCATTTCCGCTTGTTCGTTTATTAAATCATTTTTAAAATGTTTTGAGTTGCACGATTTACACCACTTATCATAATCACATATTTCATTGCATTCTAGGCATACTTCAGACATTCTTCTTATAGTATATAAGATGGAAGTTTATTTTTTTTTTTAATTAAAAATTTATGCGCACTATTCCTTAATTATGTTATTCTAATTAACACCATAAATTATGTAACATCTAGACTTAGTATTTTGCATTTCGTCATATGTGTCGTCGTCATTATATTTGTCATATTTTAGAAAGACATTTTTTACTCAATTTTGAGGGTAAGCATTGCATTTAACCCTGTATATACTATATTTAGTGATGATGATGTTAATTTAATATATTAGCGTATAATTATATTAATATTTCTAAAAATTATATATTTTATAGAGGTAAAACTGATGAACATTTGATCGATGTAATGAATCGATTAAATGAATATGGTTTCAAGTCAATTCTTGATTTTATCGGTCGAATCTATCGGAGGATAAAGAATCTCCTCATATGAAATATTATAGAAATGTATTTAAGATGTAATTAAATTAAATTATGATTAATGCTAAATTGATTAAAAAAGAATTCAATATCAAAATTAAATCTGTAAAATTTTAGAATTGTTGGTGAAAATGATGAGAATAATAATATCGATGATGATTTTCTTAACAACAAATTTGATAAAGAAGAGGGGAGGAAAGGAGGGAAAATATTATCAATTGGCAAAATAGAATTGTGAATTTCGGTCAATTATATGGTAATTAATTGATTTAGTCGATTTAAAGAGTTTTTAATAAAATGATCAAAAGGAAATTATTATGAATGATTAATCAATAGTTTTTAAATTTAGAAAAACTTATGAATTAACTAATTGATAAATTTAGGTAATGAATTTTGTTATTTAGTTATTGATTCTGTAGTTAAGTTAGTTAATTAATTAATTAATTAATTTGATAATTTATTCCTTAATATCTTCATAATATTTCATATTTTTTATTTTTTATTTTTATTTTTATTATTTAGAATTATATCATGATTTATTAAAATGGTTCCAAATTAACGATAGATTTCTGGCTCTCCAAAGTTAGACTGACCTTTTAGTATTGATAAGAAAAGGCGAACATCAAATAGATGAATGCCTACTGGATTTTCGGTTCGCATTGCAAAACATTTGGAAGGTAAATAGTGATTCAATAGTTGAGACAGTAAAACAGTTCTATTGTTTTTTAAAAGAGACAGAATCAGCATTTTCAAAAAAATTCGATTGTACTCGCGTGATATTGTGGCTCAGGTTTCGTTAACATCTACGATGTGTAACTTCTAATGCACTATCTGGTACGGCACATGGAACCGTATTTACAAAGTCAGAACAAAAAGACTTCGTATGATTACTAATAAGAGCACAGATTCCAAAGTGATCTTTGGGTTTTATATTCACCACAAGGAGATACAACTGCAACGTGGTTAGAAATGGCAATTGGTCAGAGCTAGTGCGTCAGTGAAAATATAAAATATTTAAGGATGAATATACAGGAACGAGAGAGAACGAACCGTCCATAATTTTCATCTTGCACAGATATCTGAATTGGTAACTTAGAGTCTGGGTCTATTTCTGAACTTGACAATAGACAAAAACGGAAAAATTCATAAATCAAGAAAAAGGTTGAAATATAGCAATGAAATTATTTTAGCATAAAAATATATCCTCGAATTTTACAGTGAATATTTCATTTTAACAAATTTTTTTTAGGATAGTCTTTTTTTTTTAAAATTGTTTTCGTGAATTTATTTAATCATCATATGAAGAACGAGAAGATGACGGGAGGTGGAGAATATGAGAGAAGTTGTAGAGAACAAGTGAACGAGAGTAGGAGAGGAGATGAAATAATAATAAGATATTATTAGTTTTATGCATAATGTTTTATTCCCAATTTTTAGTGCAGATAGCCCTTTTAATCGTAAAAAAAGAAACATTATTTTAGCAACAGCAATTAAACAAACAAATAATAAAGAAACATGACTTGCGTGATGTATAAATTAAATCGTTTCATCCTAGAATAACTTTGTAACAAGAATAATTGATAATTAAAAAAAAAAAAAAGAACGATGTATCAAAATTTGCTTGTAAATTATTATATTTACTCGAATATATTGAGTAAGCGAAATTTATTCGTACAATTAATTATATTTACTCATCCTATAAATATCTTATCGAAGCTCAGATATATTAAATCATGTGCATATATAGAAAAATTTAATAAATAATATATAAAGCTTTTTTTTTAGCGAAGGGTGGAATGCAATAATTTAAATGAAATAATTTTTTCGAATCACGTGTGTTATTATTATCCCTAATGAAGGCTTGCAATATAGATATCGGATCAGATATGCTTTTTTTCATAATATGAAAGATGATTTTATTTTTATTGAAGTAATAATAAATGAAAATTAGAAACATATTGTTAATAATAATTTTTCAATAAAATGATCAATGAAATTTTGTCTATTTTTTGATAATCTATCTGATACAAGAATTTTTTAGATTAATATACTTATTTGTAAAAAATTAACAAAATAAAAAAAAAAATAAACAAAATGATATAAACAAAAAAAAATTATAAAAAGGGTACCTATACCTTTTTATTCCTTTTACACTTTTTCTTGCCTTTGTCTTTTCTTATATCTTTTACTCTTATATCAAAAAAACTTTTTACCCTTAGATATTTATTAAAAATGGCACCTGTAACTTGCTCAACTGCAAGAAGACTTGGATTGGTGATTGAAGTTGGACCTTTCTCTGCTGCTGCAACTTGCCCACTCCCAGATAGAAGAAGGAGAAGAAGAAGACCTGGTCCACTTCCACAACAACAATAACAACAACAACAACAGCAGCAGCAACAACAACTTAACATTAGAATCTCTTGGAATGGATTAACTCCCAGGCAAGCTGGTAATTCCACCCAGGCATGCGTGGCCAACTTATATGTAGATTTACCATCCATGTCAATTGATGGCCTGCTTGTCTTACTTAGAGAAAGTGTTTTCTGGCTCTAAGTTTGACAGGTGGAGTTGGTGGGAGTACTCTAGTATTGGGTGGTGACTGGAAGCTCTCTTTTATTTTTTTGATTGGCTGCATATAAGATTTAATAATATTTTATGATATGTCTTTTATTTATTTTTATATAAGAATTTACTTGTCAAACTGACTCATATAAAATTACCGTAATTAATTACATTAAATTATATTAATTTTAATGCATCAATTTCAATAATTCTGACAATTACAAATTAGTCAAGATTGTCAAAATTTTCCAGGCACAGGTTATTTTTTTAAAAGAAACAATTATACATGGTATCCTTTTTAAAATAACCAAAAAAAAAGCAGAAAAATTTTTTGTTAAATTTAAATTATAAGTCGACATTAAAACTGTTACTAAGTAAACTCGTAGAAAAATATAAAATACATATTATGTAAAATTTTTATACTGATTTAATTAAAAATGAGTGATTAAATTAATCTTTTATTTAAAAAATTTAATTAATAAGTGATTACTTAGCTTTAATGTAATCAGTCTGAAAAGTTTATAGTAGATGTATTTTAAATTTTTCTATGAGTTTACTTAATAACATTTTTGATGTTAGCTGAGTAAATAAAATGTTTAATATGTGACATGCATTAAAAATATTGTAAGCTTCTTTATTAATGAAATAAAAAAATTATGAAAATAAGTAAATATATTATTAAATATCAAATAATTTATATATAAATAAATTCTTGCTATTCTATGTAGTTATTGATATTGTAAAAATTTTTGCTGAACCCTATAAAGAAGTTCCATTTGGTTATTATTTAACTTTAATTCTGGCTCTTGCTCTATGAATTTTATAACATTATCAATACTTTGGATTGCTAATTTTTGTTTAATTTTTTTGGTTTGTTTAGATTTGAACTAAATTTATAATTCTATTTGTTATATTAATATTTTCAATTTCAAGTGAGTCATCAATCTCAATATAGTCATTTGCATTAATGACATCTTCATAAAGTAATTGAGAAATTAAATTTTGAATTTCTTGAGTATTGTATTGTTGAAATGGGATTATATCACCAGTTATTGTGCTATCTGAAATAATGCTAGCAATAGATGAGGGTGTTTCTGGATTGTCAAACTCTAAAAATTGTGAAGTTAAATCTATATTTGTCTTTTTCCAACAATTCAAAATAGTGTCACAACTAATATTATTCCATGATTCAGCAATTCAATCTATAGCATGCTTAATATTAATATCTTCTGAAATATTATTATTAAATTGATTAATTCTAAATTTTATCAGAAGTTTTCTATATTGTGCCTTAAAAGAATGGATTATACCTGCATCCATTGGTTGCAAATGTGCTGTAGTATTTGCAGGTAATGGATGTAGTGTCTCATTTGATAAATCTTCTGATTTTAAACTCTCTTCACTACAATGAGCAGATGCTTGGTCATATAAAAGAAGAATTGATCTATTTTTTTCGCTCATTTGATTATTTAAATTAATTAAAAAATTATTCCAGACTTCTGTAGTCATCCATGCTTTATTATTCCAATAATAGTTGACTGGCAAATCTTCTTTTTTTATTTTATGTAGTGGCTGAGGTGTTTTAAAATAATGGATTACTAATGGTCTTATTTTAGCTGTACCTGAAAATAGGAAAAAAACAGTTAAAATAAATTTATTATTAAAGACAAAAAAAATTTAATATATACCTGTAATATTTGCACATAAAAGAACTGTAACTCTTTGTTTATTCTTTTTTTTTTCTACAATTGCATTCCTGGCAAGCAATTTTGAAGGTTCCATTTTCCAAAATAGACCAGTTTCATCACAATTAAAAATATCTTCTAGTGGCCAATCTTTCAATAAATTTTGTAATTTTTTTCTGTATTTTGGAAGATCTTCAAGAGGTGCACTATTTGCTTCTCCATAATGCACAAATTCTTTTAAACCAGCTTGTCTTTTGAAATTAGTTAGCCAACCTTCAGATGCTTTGAAATCATTAATGTTGAGAAGTTTTGCAAATTCTTAGGCTTGGTAAATTAAAATGAATCCAGTAATTGTCAAATTGGCTTTAAGAACATTATCTATTCATGTCATTAAAGCTTTCTCTAATAAAGGAAATTTAGGAGTTCTCATTCTTTTCATTTTAGCTTCATTGTTATTAAGATCAAGATTTAACCAATAAGCATTATTTTTAAGAATTTTGGAAAGTGTACTTGTACTGATATAAATTTCTTTGCTAATGTTTTATTTGACAATTCTGGATTTTTTTGTTTTAATAAACAAATTTTATATTTTTGATAATTTATTAAGGTGTGTCAAACAAATCTAACAGAAAGATGCTTCATTTTGTTTGAAATTAAAGATAGAATATACAGAAAGTGTATTGAAATAATATTTTTGAAAATTCAATTTTAAAATAATTAATTCAAATCAATTTTTTTAACTAAAATATCCAAGTAAGAATTCAGTTCTTTAAATACAAAATAAAATAAATTATAAAAACTAGAAAATTAGCAAATGAATACAATAAATTTGAAAATATGATAGTATTTGATAATGAATAATATTATCTAAAACATGTTTTATTAGAATTATTTATAACAAAGTAAAAAAATTAAATACAATGAAATTAAAAAAATATAATGATATTTAAGAATGACAAAAACATGTTTTATTTTATTGCAAGATAATAAAAAGAAATATTTAAACAATGAAATTAATATTTAACAATGCTAGCAATACAATTTAAAAAAATAATATTAAATAAGATATATCTAATTACCAATAAACATGATGAAATTAAAAATCTGACAAAGACTAAAGTTATTTAAAAAATATTAAGAAATTTTAATGATAAACTAAAACATGTTTTACAATTGTTTGATTTGTAAAACAAAGATTTACTTGAAATTACCAGTAAAAAATTCAATTAATAAAACTCTATAAAAAACTCCAAATATAGTAACAAATTGTTAATCAAAAAAAGTTATTAAAACTATCAAAGTTGATACATTAGCTTGTGCAAACCAATATATCTAATTGTAGTAGTTTTTACAAGAAAATCAATTTTACAAGTAAAATTTCTTATATCGAGAGTTGACCATATATGATATTCACAGAGATTTTTGCAAAATTTTTTATGGATGTCTGAATTTAAATGTGAATATCTCAAAGAATATTGATGCTATAAGAATAAAACACATATCAACATGTAACCAGAAACCAGGACTTTTGATCCATCTTAGAAACACCTTAGTGAAAATTGCTCTCTGTCATGTGAACCACAAGCAAATTTGAAAAACAGATTTTTTTAGATGTAAATTTTCAAAATATTTATATAATATTTGAAATTTTATATCTAAAAAAATTTCCTGATGTATTTGTAAATTTTATATCTATATCCATTAAATATTGTAAGAACAAAATCTAAATTAGAATTAAACTTATGATCACCAAAGGGAGTTTCACCAAAAATCATTTCTCACATTATAATACACATCTGATTTGTTATATAATTTTTTTACATAAAAGTTCCATAGAAATGTATGGGAGATTCCCATAAATACTATTTAATTGACTAACCCTAAATCCACTATTCAAATACAAAAGAATTACTGTACCAAATGGTAATTCCTATACTATAGATCAACTAAAAATCAGTAACAATCAACTATCCTCTTGTATCCTATATTATAAATCAGCTAAAATCAGAATTCCTTTTTGGTACAGTATATCTTTTGTATTGACCTGTGATCACTAATATACTAGGCATAAATTCATGCATTATAAAAAATATTTCTCAAGTGCAAATCTTTATGTATTGTTACAAATGTGCAGAGTATTTTGAACACTTTCACCTATCAGTCTAAGAGTTTGTCTCATACAAACTAATTTTTTAATATACTCTATCTGCCAGTAGGTCAAACAATCCATCAATCTAAACTTGCCTATCTTGAAACAGATAATTAGCATTCCATTTAAGTTCTTAAGTAGCCATTTCTTATTTTACTTAAAATTAATATGATTTAATTAATTAATATATAATTTAATGAATTATTAATTAATATATAATATAATATATCATTAATTAATTTTATTTACAAATAAAAATATAATCTAAAATTATTGTTGACTTTAATTATTTATTTATTTAATGATTGGAATATATGTGCACAGAAAATTATGTTTGAAAATAATAATTTTATACAAGATGTAAAAGTTAGATTTTAAACATGCTAGCAGACCAACTAGTACAAGTTACAGAAAAACAATAAAAGAGGATTATGTGATCAAAATTAATTACAATAATATTGGAAATAGATCATTAATTTCAACATGGAAAGAAATACCCATAGAGCTTCCTATAAAACAGGCCTTAAAAAGAATAAATACAATAAGATACAGATAATGTTGGAAACTGCAAAAAATCTTGGATAATGAAAAAACACAAAAAATTGACTGGATCACTACATTTAAAATATTATATCCAAGTAAGATAACAAATGATAATACAAACAAAGAAGATTACATTAAAAGAAGTTTTGCAATGAAACTTTTTAATGGAGAACTGCCTGTAATGCTCAAAAGATTCAAGCATCAATCTCATATATATAACAGTTCAAAATGTATATTATGTAGAAAGTATAAAGAAACTGATATATATTTGTTTGAATATAAAAGCAATAATAATAAAGAGAGTGAATAAACACCAATGACAAATCATTACAAATAACTAATTAATTGCCTAACTATAAAAATTCAAAAACAAACAGATGAAATAAAGGAAAACAAAATAAAAAGTGAACTTAGGTTTCTAAGTGAGTTATGAAAGCTTTGGGGAGATACAGATGAAATAAGTTTACCTAGGATTATATTACACAAATTAATCAAGGGATTCATATCACAATCATTAGTATTCAAAGTTACATCAATGTTGAAATCTAGAAAAAAGACCAGGGAAACAATTATTGAAGGAATGGTTAACTTTAAAGAGTACTTAAAAGACTATTGAAAGGAACAGTATGAAAAAGTGATATTATAAGAAGCTAAAAATAATATTACAAATAGATTGGAAAAGAAAAAAAAAAGAAAAAATTAATTTAAAAAAGGTGAGAGAAATAAGAGAATATAATAACAGTATAAAGTTAGTAGAAATTAATAAAGGGAAATACAGTAAAATGGAACAAATAGAAAAGAACATGATACATAAATTTAGAATGTGAATTTACTTAAGATACAAATATAATAATAATTATAGTTATATATTGTTTTTTGCAAAAATGTAGATATACCAATATATTGTGGCAATCCAAATTAGTAATCAGGTGAAATGTCACAGAGGATGATAATTTGTAACACTAGATGAACATTTAGATAATTGTTATCCCATGTGAAATGACCGTACGAGAATAAAAGATGACTGTACAAGGATGAAGGATAAGGTATGAAGATGAGAAGGATGAAGTGTAAACAAAAGAGAATGTATAAATATGACCATTGTCGGGTATAAGTTTTAGGGAGTGATCAGAATTCATTAATAGTTATTAGTTAATTAATTATTACTTAATATTATGAAATATATCGAAATATTTTAATTATTATTAGATAGAAAAGTAAACTTACTTCAGGGATGGTAAAATAAACATCCTAACACATGATAATATTCTGTCACTGAATTATACTTTACTTTTAAAAACTTTATATTTTATATTTTAATAAACTTACATCTTGTGCCATAATATTGTTTGATACCGTGTTAACTACTTTTACTTCACCTTACTCACTGTGCCTTCATGATTAATTAATTATTAATTGATTATTATTTGATTATTATTATTATTTATTATATATTTATTATCTGTTTCAAGATAGGCCAGTTAAATCAATTGTATTAGCTGTGACCTACTGGCAGATAGAGTGTATTATTATGTTTGTGTGATGCAAACTTAGAGACTGATTTGAGAAATTATTTGAAATACTCTGCACAAGTGTGACAATACAATAATAATCTACACTAATTATTACCTGACTCAATTAGTGTGGTGATATCATTTAAATATCAAATAAAAATTTAGATCTTTAATAATAAAAACTACTATGTTACTATACTATAAATACTAAAAATACTAACCATTAATATTTCGATTCAGCCATTTCAGCAGGTTCGGATATTTATCTAATGTAATCTAATAATAAAAAAAATATATGTTTCACAGGTGGTTTATTGGATCTACGATCACATTATATTACACGCAAAATTATTGGATAGATTTAAATTACACAAGTCTGTAATATTGTTATCATTATCAAAAAAATCAGACTCCCATTTTTGATATTTTTCCTGTTATACATCAAAATGTTAACTTTTGTATCCTTTACGCGTTCATTAAATATTCTCTGCACAATAATTCATTAATTTATTATTGATTTATTTGAAAATAAGGTATGAACAAAAAAGCAAATTTATGTTTTAAATAATGAGAAATTGTGGAATTGTTTTTTACCACCAACAACTAATGTATTGTTAAATAAATTTGTTATTGTTTAAATTAATAAAATAAAGTTTCATTTAATATTTAATCACCAATAAATTGATTTTGTGTATTGTTTGTATTGTTCGTTATTATACCCAAATCTATTTTCAAGTCCTATGAATGGATAAAAAATATTAATAAAGATGAAGATAATGGTGAATGATTTGACAAAGCTTTTATTGAAATCTGGGCAACTCATCAAAAGAAATTAATTATTTAATTAATAAGTTTTGATAATAAATCAAATGAAATAATCTAAAAATTCTGAATTAATGAACCTATTAATGATTCTATAGAACTTTTATTGTAATCAAATGAACATAATTTTTTGGATGGAAACAATTCTTAGGAATTTGAATCACTGAGATTTTGTTAATAATATCTAATCGAGTTTATTTATGAAATTATTTCCAACAAAAGACTGCTATTCTATCAATGGTATTTATTATTCTCGAAAAATATGAAAAAAGATGTATATTTTTTGAATAGCAAAATGAGTAAAATAAGAGTAAAATAATAGAAAGAAATAATAAATGAAAACTATATTCAATAATAAAATGAAATGAAAATATCGGTCAATAATAAAAGAATAAATGTCATGCATTTTTAAAACTAAAATTAAAAAAAGAATTCTATCACATAATACCAAATAATTTCAATAATCTAAATAAAAAAGTACTATTTCAAAATGACATTTCTGAAGTTATATTAGGAAGTGGTTGATTTTGAGATGGAGGAATTGCATTCATTATGGCTTCATATAATTCATCTGCTTCATTGGAATTGGGTAACTAATAAAATATAACAAAATATATTAAATAAAAATATATCAAAAAATATAATTACGAAATCATAAATTGCAAACCTTAATAGCCAGATGAACGAGCTTATCCTCAAAGGCAAAGATTCTTACAAATTTATCTTGTGATCTTTCAACTTGCATTCCATGAAATAATGCAACATTTAAGATCACTTTTAGTACGTTTTCGGAACGCATAACTTTATATTTTTTTAATCAAATATTATGTCAATTATATAATAATGGTTGGTAAAAGGAATTACAATAATCACAAATTTATATCGAAAGTTTACCTAATCGAGGAGAATTTTCATTATTTTTTGAATAATTTAGTCTTAGAATTCCAACTCCTCTTTCTTTCCATTCCTGAACATTCAAACAGTATAATTTCGCTCTAATTGCAATTCGAGTAATTTCATTTTCTTCCCCAGTTGATACTAAAGAAATTATATAACAAAAAATTACTGTTATTATTATTATTATTATTATTATTATTATTATTGATGTTTTTTTTTGTTGTTATCACCTTCTCGTTCCTGTAATAAAGTTTGTGTTCTTGTCCCAAAAGGGACTTCTTCTTTCACATCCTTATCATTCTCATTATCTTTACCGCTTTGTGTGGCTTGCTCATCAAAAATTGATACATTTGGCTTTTGTGAGCTAAGTCTTTCCTTTAATGTACCGGAATATTTGGTCCCCGATCCAAATATGCCAGTATAACCACTTCCGAATATTGGTTGTGGTTTGGGTTGGAGTTGTGGTTGTTGTTCGAGTTGGGATTGTGGATCCGGTTGTGGATCAGGTTGTGGTTCGGGTTGTGATTCAAGTTGTGGTTCAAGTTGTGGTTGTAGTTGTGGTTGTGTATGTGGTTGTGGTTGTATTGTTTTATTTTTTCGTGGCCTTCCTCGGCCACGTTTTTGCTGTGTTGATGGCTGTTGTAGTTGAGGTTGAATAGGTTGAATGTTTTTTCGTGGCCTTCCTCGGCCACGTTTTTGATTCGGTTGTTGTTCATTTTCGGTTGCTTTTCTTTTTCTTAAAGAATTTGATGAACCTTCAATTATTGATGCATCAATCTTTCCTTTGCTCCTGCCCCTTCGAAGGGTTATAGTAGATTGATCATTTGTAGTATCTACATTGATTCCATTAGAATTAGCAGTACCAGCATAATTGGTTTCAGAATTGATGTTGGTAGGAGCTTCGCTTGTTACATTATTCATTCCTCTGCTCCTGCCTCTTCGAAGCGTCATAAGAGGTCGAGTATTTGTAGAATTTACATTATTTCCATTAGAATTAGAAGTGCTGGCATTATTGGTTTTAGAATTTATGTTGGTAAGTGTTTCGCTTGTTATGTTAATCTTTCCTTTGCTCCTGCCCCGTCGGAGAGCTATAGTAGGCTGATTATGTATATTGGTTACATTAGTTTCAGTAGGCTTATTCATGGTAATATTATTGAATAGGTTTTTGGAAAATTGACGTTGTTGTTGTGTAAGAGATTTATATGTGGTATGTTTGATGTTATTTCTTTAAGATTAAAATTTTAGAAATAGAGAGTTTTTTTTTTTTGAAAAATGGCAAGCTTTGATTGGATTTATGAAAACAAAATTTTTTTCTGTATACAATGTGAATCTGATGTAATTATTACAACTATTTTGAAAGATTATTAAATCCAATGATGCAATAATTATTAATAATTACACAGAAAGCAAAATAGTAGAAAGATGATCACAATTGATCTTTTTATTACCAGGATTACCCCGGATTACACAGTCACTATTATATTAATCTATTAATTTATTATAATAAAATAATCTGTAATTAGACTGCGTGATATTGATAATTATAACTGCTAAAATTAATATGAATTATTAATTCGAGGCACTAGTTGGATAAATTATTTCACTTTAAGAAGCATAAATAAGATTTTTTATTCTATGCTTCGTCATTTATTCAATTAAGTTTCTATTCAAAATTTTTGGTTGATATTAGGTATCTTCAAGAATTGATTATAAAAAACATTTGTCTAATAAATTCTTATGTCAAATGGCCAAGAATCACTTAAAATATTGGCCATTTATTATCATAATTTTAATAGTTTCAAAGAAAAATTTCTTGAAATGGTTTGTTATAAAAGAGGAGGAGGGGAAGAGGTTATAAAAAGATTATTTTAGAACGTACAAACAAGCGATCTATTTACATTACGCGATGAGAATGTTATTTTAATTAATAATTTATAATGCCAAATCAAAAAAACATAGGTCTGATTGTATCATTTGATTTTTTGTGTTGAACATAAGAATATTGAACATATAATAAAATACTTTTTATTAAAAATACTATGTATTAAAAGTCATTGGTATAAATATATGAAATTTTTAGTTAATAATTTAACGAAAAAAATTTATTCAATAATATTATTTGATATAGTATATGATTATTTTTTTTATTTTATAGCTTAAATTTTTAAATTTAATTAAAAAATAATCAATTCAAAAATAAAAATTGTCATTTTTACTGCAATAATTTTAATAATAGTTAAATAATTTATTTATATTTAGAACATAATATATAAGGATTCAAGGTCAGAGACATTTTATTAGCTAAAATTTTATATATGTATTTATTAATAATTAATTTAATTACATTAGATAAGTCTATTCAAAATAACTTAAATTATCTAATGCTTAGAATGTAGAAACGATAGAACAATTTTATTGTAGTTATAATTATTAAATAATTAATTTGTTATTAATAAGTGATGTAATATAAATAAATTTATATAATTAATTATTCTCTAAATAATTTTTAAAGTATAAATCAGTTTATTAAATTAATTAATGTATCCATCTTAGGTATATCTTTTTCATTTCGTTATCTTATTTTTTTGAAGTGAAATTATATCTTATTTTTTAATTTAATAATTTTTTTTTGTCTACCCTGAAGTACTATTAAAGACCTAACCTGTATAATTTGTGATGCTTAAAGATAAATATATTTATTATGTAAAAAAAAATAAAAGTCTATTCGTTTTAACAATATTACTCTCTTTAAATTAATATTCAAAGTATCATTTAAAATTAAAAAAAATTTAGATCTTTAATAATAAAACCACTATTTAATAAAAATAGATGTTTAATATATGTTACACAAAAATAATCTACACTAATTATTACCTCACTAAAATATTATTCAAAGTATTGTTTTAACGTGAATAAATATTTGGTCATTAATAAAAAAAACTAATATATTACTATAAATACTGTAAACACTAACTACTAAAATATCTATTCGGTCATTTCAACAGAATCTAACCATAAATATATGTTTCGCAGGTTCTGACGTTATATATTTGAAATAAAAAAAAACTAGATGTTAATCTGTACCATATTACACAATTTACTAGTTTATTGGATCTACGATCACATTACATTACACAAAAATTATTGGATGGATTCATTGTTAGGATCGTTATCTAATAATCATTATCAAAAAATCGTACAGATAGGTTACGTTTTTGATATTTTGTCAATTGGTGCATCAAAAGTGTAACTTTGGTATCTCTTTAAATATCCTACGCTATGCTCCGGACAAAAATGTTTCACGTTATTCTCCGGACAACTATGAATAAAAATATATAAATAAATAATCTAATAATTAAATACAACTAAATTAAATTAATAAATAATGCTATGTGATGTTAAATAATTTTACTATAGTTTAATAGTATTGAACCAATATAATAATGCTTCATGTAATATCGATAAATGAATGGTTTGTATCGTTCGTTATTATAACCGAATCTATTTTCAAGTCCTATGAATTGATTTGTTTCATAGATTTTAATGAATTATAAATAAATAAAAAAATATTAATAAAGATAACGATAATGATGAATGATTTCGAAACTTTTATTATGATGATAAATCCATGAAATCATTATTGTATTCTAAAAATTCTAAATTTTAAGATAAGAAACAATCCATGAATTAATGAACAATAAAATTCAATTAATGAACTTTTTAATGATTCAATAGAACTTTAATTGTAATCTGATATTTATAATCTTTAAATAAATAAACAATGTTATTAAGCATACTAATGATATGACTATTTGATTATAACGAAATCATGAAATAAATAAGCAATTAAACTCAATCTGATTTCATTAATCATTTATATATTTATTTAAAAACAAATAATTTTCTACATATAAAACATCCGAATAGAATAAAAATATTAAAAAAAAAAGAAATAAACTATATCATTTTCATCACCAACGCCAACATAATCCAACTACCCACCAAAAACTACGACTTACTTTTAAATTTTTATTTTAGAACTAACTGAATTCTAAATTATTTACAAATATTTAAATAAATTATTATTCATAACTTTCGTTTTTTTGAAATGTGTCCATCTTCACCATCAACACCATCATTATTATCATCTTTATAAAAAAAGTTAAAGTATAATTAGCACAATTAATGTCGATATATAACCTTTTTATATGTATAATATAATATTAATAAAATATCTACCATGCTTTCTTTTATTATTATTAGATTTATTTTGCTGCCCCATTAAGGTAGCTGCCAACAAAAGATTAATTTGTTGTTGTTGGTGGTTTAGTTTATGAGGGATTCCTAAATTCGCTTCACAAAATTGTTCCATCCTTTGATGGTATTGTTGAATCCCATATTGTTGTTGCTGTTGATTTTGTTGCAACAATTGTTCATGCCGATTAACATGCTTAGTTTTGTGATAATTTTTTGGCAATTTAATATTGCTTCGATTTAATTTAGGTTTGAACGTATCTTGAAGATAACGTTCGAGATATAATTGTAAGTGATTAGAATTTTGTTGTCGTTGTTGTTGAGGAGGTTGTTGATAATGATTATTTTGGTGATTTTGCAATAAATTATGATTCACTTGTTGAATCACATATCGTTGTTGGGTTTGAATATGTTGTTGTTGTTGTTGTTCATGATTTTGAACTTGTTGAATTACTTGTCTTTGTAATTGTTGTATGTATAGTTGCTGTTGTTGATGTTGAGAGTGTTGTAGTTGTTGCTGAATATTTTGAATTTGTGGTCGTGGTTGTTGATAGCTTTGTCGTTGTTGACTATGAGGGAAAGCCATTGTAGAAGATTGTAAGTTCATGTTTTTTGAATATAATAAGTGTAAGAGTTTAGATGCGAATTAATAATAAAGTTATTAAAAGTAAATTTTCACTTGCAAGATCTTTTTTTTTAGTGTCAAAATATTTTTGGGTATAGTTTTTTTAATGATAATAATAATAATAATAATGTGTGCTTACCATATTTGATATTACCGGTCTATAAAAAATATTTTTTGTGGGATTTTTTTTTAATAATAAGAATAATTGTGTTTACCATATTTGATATTATCAGTCTAAAAAAAAATTTTTTTTAGGGATCTTTTTTTAATAATAAGAATAATTGTGTTTACCCATATTAGACATTGCCAGTCTAAAAATATTTGGGTGATTTTTTTAATAATAAGAATATGTCTATCATGAGAATATTGTGATAAAGAAAATAATAATGAAGTCTAAATTTTTTTTTTCGGGTGAAAAATCTTTATTATTTTTTTCTAATTAAAACAATAACAACAAATAAATAAAATAATGCTAATATAAATGTAATAAAAGATAATAATTATATTACATAAGATATGATCAGTTGTATAATATATTTCATCAGATATATAATCAGTTATACATGTTTATTTAAAAATTTTAATTTATAACAAAAAGAAATTATATATAATATATATATTTTTTTGAAATGATTAAAAAAGGAAGTTCGATATTGATTGGGTGCTGATCAATTGTATATACTTTATTGTATTGATTAATTAAAAGAATATAATAAATTTTTGCATTATATTAAAGTGATATGATTATTGATAAACTCAATAAAATTTTCGAATTATTTCAATAATATAATATATCCAATTGATTCCTATAAATATATTTTTTAATAATTTATTATGCTATATAAAAAGATTCATAATTTATAACTTTCACACATAATTTAATAATGAAAAGCTTAAAATATGTAATCCCATTAAAATATCCAAATTGGTATATATTAATTATCCGGGTAACTCCTTCATTAGTACCCATGATAAATTTCATGATAATTGTTAACTGATCTTTTTTTGATAATCTTTCCTTTAATATATTGTTAATTGTATCATATTATACTATTTAGAAGTTTTTTCACGTTGATATTATGCTTTTTTCTTAATTATTAAAAATTACTAACAACTATCAAATCTGATGTAATGATTAATAGTTATTGATATTATTACATCAGATTTGATACATTAGACAATATATATTATGCATCTTTTCAAAAAAAAAAAATCAGTTAACAATAATTATCAACTATACTAACTGATTTCTTTTTTGATAAGATGCATAATATAAATAAACAAAAATTTTTTTAACATATGCTTTCTTTTTTTAGATGCATCCCTTGATCTGATGTAATTAATGATTTATAAATTATATTAGTTTTAAATTATTATATGATAACAAATTAAATATAAAGATATAATTTAATATTAATAATTACATCAGTTCTGAAGAAAAAAAAAATGTGCCCCTGAAAATAAAATTATAGGACCGGAACTAGAAATATTTTTAAGAGTAATGAAAAAAGTATATAAGTCATTAGTTTTTATTTGATCGCATTTTTTTTTTGAAATTTTGGAATATATTCTACTCATTACTGTTTCATCTCTTATCTTCTCCAAAATAAAAGATTTTCTGAAATTAATAATAACAAAAATGACTAAAAGATCGTTTTCTCAAACAAACAATGATAATAAAAATTCGACTCCTTTAAGGAGATCAAAAAGAGGTGAATCATTATTATTAATGAAAAAAAAAAGCATCTATATTATTCGTTCATCTATCTATACAAAATAAATATATCTCTTTCATCTTTTTTTTTTTCTTATAAAGATGCGGCACCTCCAAAACGATATTCGTCCCCATCACCACCACCAACTAAGAAAAGAGATCGTCCATTAAAGAGAGGGGCTGGACGGCCTCGAAAGAATGTGGATAATGCAGTGCCACAAGGTAAATTATTAATTTATTTACTATTTTAAATTAAAAAAAAAAAAGGTTATTAAATAAATATCTATGAATATTCAAAATAGTTGAGAGACGAAAGTCGGGAAGACCATCAAAAAGAACCAGGGTCGAAGAAGGAGGAGATGTAGTCACATATAATAATAATCATAATAACAATGATAATAATCATAATAATAAAAATCATAACATATATAATAATAATAATAATAATCTTAATAATAATAATCCTGATGACGATGAAAATGATGGTGGGAACGAGAATAATAATAATAATAATAATAATAATAATAATAATAATAATGAAGTGGAAGTTATGGATACATCCGAATCCGATAATGATTGTGATCACAATTTGGATGTTCTCTTTCATCCAAATAGTCTCATCATGCTGGCAAATGTGTCTGTTCATGCCTGGCAACAAATGGAAGTAAGTATAATTAATAATTTTATTATAATTTAATAAATTAAATATGAATGTAATAAATTGAATATGAAAATACATTTTTATTATAGGTCGACGGAAACGAAGAAGAAGAAGAAGAAGAAGATAATGGAGGGATGGGGTTTTTAAATGATGCCAATAATTTGGTAATGTTGGCAAATGTATC